CCCCCCCCCCAAGAGCATCAATATAACATTTCTGTTTTACTGAATCTCTGTTTGATATCAGCCATAAAAGACTCAACAGCATGTACTCTGTGTCATCTAGAAAGCTCCAGCTGAATTTGACACAGACCCCAATAGGTCCACCTCCCCAAACCTATACTAAAGCTGGCCAAACATTAGTAGATTTGGGAACAAACGTTCATACGAAAGATCTTTCTTTCCCACCCGATAATGACAGACACTTAAGGAATGTTGATCGAAATTTTCGTTTGGTTTTAAGATTTGATTTTGGAATGAATGGAGTTTCTCGAATGAAAATCACTTTCACTGTTAGAATTTTCCATCCTGCCCCTTTTTTTTTGTCGCTGCGGTTGAAATCAAACTGCGATTTGACCCCATCAACTAATGGAAAGTCGAACAAACGTTCTTTCGTAAATCTGAGCAGTGTATGGCCAGCATTCTAATACATAACCATCGGACCAGAGGAATGGGAAAAGACCGACTAGAACCTTGTACCCATCTACTATTCACCTGCATTTTATTTAATGGAATTAAATTTCTCAGTAAATTCCATGTGCATGTCAGCATTATCAATCTGCAAACAGAGTAACCAGTGACACTAACTATATTTACATAAGCTTCTCTAGTATACACTGTGATTTCGGTGGCAGTGTGCTTCAGATAAAGCAAACAAAACTCTACAGACAGGCAAAATGGGGGAAGATAGCCAGCACAGAAAGTTTAGGTATAGTTAAAAATAGTTTTTCATAGAGTTTTGGTTAGAGTAGAAAGTGTTAAGAAATGTCTCTTGGACAGTTGCCACCAGAAAGGATGTTCCCATTGAAGGATTTAACCTCATCTCTGGTGACAACTTCAACACTTTGGATTCCCATCACTTTCTGTCCTGGTGACAATAAGAAGAGTAAACCAATCCAGTGGGGACAGACAGAAATACAATTCTGGCTCTATCCAAAACTTAAACAAGATGTGGAGAGGTTTAAAGGTATATATGCAATAAAGAAAACCTAGAGGGAGACAAATAGCAAAACCCAAAGAGGAAAGTTGTATCATTGTGTACATCCAACAAGCATATCCATCACTCCAAACCCCTATAACCTAACCTACTAGTGCTGACAATGTAAAAGCCAAACAAGGTAGACGTGTACAGTACTAAGGCAGGCCTTAGCAGTGATACCTAGTACAGGGTCTATCCTCCACTAAAGTTCCTCACAGCTTAAAAAAAACACAAACTCGAAAGTGCATATGACCTGAAAAAATGAGTCGTTTACTATAATTGAATTGATATTTTTTACCTTGGCTTCATTGCTTACAACAGGCTTCACAGGAAACTGAACATCTGTAGCTTTCAGTATGGTATTTTCTTGTAATATGTCTTGTTGTGACTGATTGTGTCCAAATGGCTGGAAAACAAAGGGATGACATTAGACATTTTACTGTGAGCGAGTACATATTCACAAACACATGCCTGGCTGACAGCCCTTACCTTTCTGCCATAAAGACACTGGAAAAAGATGACTCCTACAGACCACACATCCACTTTATTGGAAATCTTGGGTGGTTCTTTGCCCACCACAAAGCATTCTGGGGGAAGGTACCTGTGAGATTTCAGAAAAAGATAAATACCAATATACAACAAACAATATTAAGTACTTTACAGAACAAGAATATGGATCTAAAGCAGTGGTTCTCAACCTGTGTAACCCACATTTGTCCTTGGTCATTAAGTGGTGACCCAAGTCGCACTGCAATGGAACGCATGGCATTGTGGTAACGTGCGTTCTGCTGCAGGAGATTGAACTGTGGGTGTGAGGTGTGCTTGGGGTGCCATTACGAGAACTGGAGTGGATCCTCACCCAGGGGACCAGTGCTGGGCTGCTGTGCTGTGACGGAGCTCCATCCATACGTGCATTGCTTGTACAACTCCCATGTGCGCCCTGTAGAGGTGCCGGGAGCCAGAATGTGATGTCACTCCAGTACAGGCACCTCTACAGGGCACGTGAGGGAGCTGTAAGCAATGCACAAATGGATGGAGCTCCCTCGTGGCCCTAGCTCCAGCCCACCTCAAGCTGACACACGACGCCAGGCAGTATATTCTAAATGGCTGCTCTGCGTGAGAACCGACAGTGCTGCACAAGGAGGAGGCTAAGAGACTCTCACCTAAAAAAGTGGAAGGCACGCGGCGACCCACTGAGCACGGTGTCGCGACCCACTTTTGGGTCACGACCCACCAGTTGAGAACCAAGGATCTTAAGTATATTAAACTTCCAGATCTTTATTGTTCACAGCAAAATGACAGGTGCACTTCAAGTAGAAACTTACCAGTAGGTTCCAGCCCCTTGTGAGGTCAAGTCCATTCCATCCACACCATAGCTGTCATCATCCATTATTTTAGACAAACCAAAGTCTGTGATTTTAATCTCACCACATGCCGTACCATCGACAAGGAGAATATTTCCTGGGAGAGAATGTTTTCATGAGTAGGATGGCGGTGTTATTAGTTTATTGTCCGATATCGAATTACTAACAATATCGGCAATAAAGATACAATACATTTCACACTGGATTTAGCTTTACAGATGTGGGATCACTTTCACAAGCGTGAATCAGCTGAATAACAATTGCATGCAAAATCCACTAGTGGAAATGGGAGAGAACAACTGAAATGATTTTTCAACTGACTGGAATTCTAATCTCTACAGATGATGGTTTTCTAGAAATATGATCAATGTAAGCGCTCATTTACAATACAAGGCCATTATGAATATCAAAATATTGATTTGTCCAACTGGAATTTTTCACATGTTGTGGTTTTTTGTTTTACACAATGGCGGCCCGATTTACAGTCTGTGTCCAGATTCCCCATAAGATAAAAAAGAGCACCTGTTCCCATCTCTGCGCTGCTCATTATGCTGAGTACAAGAAGTACATTTTATTCAAGCGCTGTCTTGCATTGGGAGGCCCATGGAAGTCAATAGCAATGCATCAAAACACATGAAAGATGCATTTTGTTGCACTGGTCACAGCTATTAACAAGCATTGTTCAATAGCTGTTAACTCTTTTCTCTTACTTGCATGAAAGGCTTTGTGACCAAGAAAAAAAAGCCAAAAGGTCTAGTGAACGTTGTCTGACCTATATATTTTCGATGCCAGTCACTCAGCCCAGATGAAAGTCTGATCAGGCAGTGGTTCCATATCTATGGTGACAGACAGACCGACTCAAGTGGGCACATGGTTCTGAGGGTGGGGGGGCTGGGGGAAGACCAGCAGCACCAGTCACATATGCCTGTGGCTTACTCCCTTTCTACATAGACATAAAAATATTGGGTTACCAGAGCAGATCTTGCAAGTTTATGGAGTGATGGGTAGCAGACGTAGTACATCTGTCTGTGGCAGCGAGTGGGTTTACAAGGTATAGGCAACGCAGGTCTAAATGCACAGGCAATTTTCTGCCTACCTGGCTTTAGATCGTAATGGATGATGGGAGGCTTGATCTCATTGAGATAACGTAGTGCATTGACTATTTGCATTACGATAGACCTGGCTTCTTTTTCAGACATCAGTTTGTGTTGTTTCAGATAGAAGTCGAGATCATTTCCTTCACAGTATTCCAGCACCGTACAGAACCTGGAAAAAACCCAAGGAAACTAATGCTTATTTCAGTGTTTATAAAAGGTAGTTTAACATGCTGTCCAGAAATAGAACTAAGTGTACACATTACGTATACACCAAAGCACATTAATACAACATGTAATACCTAACTATTTTTTCTTACATTCCTTGTACATTTCTGCTATATTTAACTGTTTTTATAATGTCTTTACCAAGTTAACATCTAGGTTGCTAGCCAACACATACCCACAGACCAATCTTGCGGTCACATTCACAACAGGTCTACTTTAAAAAGGTGCACATGTCACAAATTAAAACAGGAATGAAAACAAGTGGCTCTAAAAACCATTGAAAGTAACTATAATTTGTTTTGGGGCTCAGTCTGTTTGAATGAAATCCCAGACTAAGCCATATAATAAGGGGATGGGTCATTGTAATGACTGATACTTGATTCACAAAGCTGCATAGTATTATTTAGCATGTTTTGTAGATAGTGTCCCTATGCAAGACCAAAGGGGTTCTCTGCAAGATAAGGCTACTAGCTTAGAGGCTTGCCTTGCAGAAGTGAGAACTATAAAGGAAAGCAACTATGTGGGTGAAAGTAGAGGAATATCTCAAATGGGTCCAAATGGTGGCTTCAAAAGCACCAAGAGAAGCCAATTCATATAGAACAGAGTCATGGGTGGACAAACTGGAGGAACCACGTGAGAGACCCCCTGCACAATGTGTTAGAGAGGGTGAAGCCAACAGTCTTTGAAGAAATAAAAACAACAAACCATGGACAGTGCAGAGACTTGATCGTTGATAGTGGGAGGAGCCAAGGCTTGTTCAAGACCCAAATGCAGGAAGGAAACAATCCATTCCACAGAGAAACTCTTGTGAAAATTAAGTCTTAAACCTATCCCTCAATAGCCATGCCATTAAAGCCAGCTGAACCTCTTTCAAATCTGGTCAGAGATGCATTGTTGACTGTTCCCTCAACAGGAGGCTGTCCAAGTATACCATGTAGGGCTGCAACCAACTAATCGATTAATTGATGAGAATAGTAGTCAACTAGTCTCATTATCGATTAGTGGAATCCCCTAGCTCTTTCCTCCATGCTGGAAGGAGGGCACAGCAAGCAGCAGGCGGGTAAATAGCCAGCCTGCTATTGGCTATTACAATTTGAAATGGCCAATAGTAGGCTGATATTGCACCAGCCCACTACCTGCTGTATTTACATTCAACTGCCGTCTGCGGAATCTTGCTACCGGCAGCTATCATTCCCTGGCTGAAGCTATTCAAGCGCAATGTGCTTACAATACAGTTATTAAAAAATTAAATTACGAAAAGGTGGGAAAAAAGTCATTTTCAGTTTCGGCCTGACAAATTCTGCTGCAGGAGGTGCGTTGGTTAATTTCAATGGCACCCCAAATGCGTTTGCAATACTGCATTTGTGCATTTTATTTTAAATTAAGGATGGCATTTTTTTCCCTTTAATTTTTTTTTTATCTGATTAATCGAAAAAATAGAATTGGCCAACTAATCGATTATGAAAATAATCAGTTGCAGCCCTAATCCCAGGGCGCTACAGGGCCAACATGAAAGCCAGAACCCCAGTGCAGTGCAGAGGCCCTGCAGCAGATCATAAAAGCACTGGATATATGGGTCCACAGATGCCAGAAAGTCTCCCTGGTGAGGGGAGGGAATGGAATATCTGACTGATTTAATCTAGAACTTTTGGGCCTGAATGTAAAGATTCAGGAGTAAAGGGGACGCTTCTTATGACTGCAGTCTTCTGCTGGGAAAGAGGAGTACCCATGCCACCAGAAACATCATTGATGAGAACATTTAAAGCTGGTCTGAAGAGTCGTTACTCCTCAAAGGCCATGAAGATCAAATGCTTCTTAGAAGACAGTTCCACAGTCCAACACTTGAGCCAAAGTGCCGAAAGGAGACACATGCAAAAAACAATAAGATGGAAGACGTCCAAATAGGACTCAAAATTGAAATTAGTGCCACAGCCACCTGCTCTATGCATTTAATGAGCGGAGGGTGAAAAGTAGCGGGGGGCAGGAACCCCTTTAAGGGATTTCACTCAGTCAAACATGGTTTGACAAAGTAAAGTCAAGGTCCGCACTAGTGAGAACAGTGTTCTGGAAAGGGCTTCCATCTGCATAATAGTTGGGTCCATTAACCACCAGCATTTGCCTTTTTAAGATGAGACGGCTGAATCCATAGTTAGAAAAGACGACTTATGAACAAAATCCACACCAAAAAGTTACAAGACAAGGAAAGAACAGCCAAAAAAGCATATAAAAATAGAAGGTAGGCGCGGCCTTCAGGGAGCCTTAGGGTGGTGCACACCACATATAGCTGAAAGGGTTTTCTTTAACTTGGAACTAACAGCAGAAGACTGAGATCCCTCAGGGGTAAGCTCTTTCAATAAGAATGTGTGTGGCTCAGAATCAGACAGAGGCACGATAGCACAGAGGCTGCTAATGCCGAGGGAAAGTCAGAATGTGCTGTAGAGCAGTGCTCCCCAACCTTTTTATCGCCGCGGACCGGTCAACGTTTACTGTACCCAGCTGCTGCTGCCTCCTCTCCCCCCTCACGTGCTCGGACTTACCCAGCCAGGGAGTTGTGTGCACTCACTGCAGAGGGCGGGGCTTGTGACACACACATCTCCTGTTACTCACCTCCCCTCCCGCCGCCTGTTACTATGGACGCGGCCGGGAGGGGAGGTGAGTCACAGGACCCGCCCCCTCACTGTGAAGCCCGTCAGCAGTGCGGGGCCCCGCGGCCCGGTACCATTTGATCCACAGACCGGGACCGGTCCGCTGCCCGGGGGTTGGGGACCACTGCTGTAGAGGATGCAGAAGAGCATTTGTGGCCTTTGATCACAGTCAGAAATAAGTGTGTAATTTGAGTCATAAAATCTTGCAGGACCATAGTAAAAACCACAGCTGAGAAGGCAGGGGATCAAACCACACCCAACAGGGCCATAGAGGTCACAGAGGATGGGATAGACACTATTTAGCAGAGGACAGCATGACTCCATAAATTGGCATACTGCAAGCAGTCCCTGTCCCATTATTAAAAAGTGGGACTGTCCTCCACCCCGTGTCTAGATTCTGACATGTTGCAGACGCAGTGTGGTTCGGCAACATTCAGGTACAAGGAAAAAGACAAGGCTTCTGATACTTCCGAAACTTAGACAGCTGGTAACAGGTGAGGGTCAGTGAGTTTTAGATGGCTGGAGGGGACCGAAGTCACTGTATATGGGTAGCAGGAACAGGTCAAAGATTGAAGTTCTATATGGCTCATTACAGCAGGATCAGCACCGGGGGGATTCTTCCCCAATGCAGTATGGCAGGAAAGAGTGCGCTTCCCAATCCGCCCAGCGTATAATGCCAGTGCTTGGCCCAAGAGTGTTAACCTCTTCTACAGCAAAGCCAGCAGAAAATAGGAAACAATACTGCCCAGCGACCAATAAAAGAGAGGGAGTTCACTGTTCTTGGTCCATTCACTTTGGCCAGCGGCTGTGGACCTGGAAAGTGCTCTGCAGCTAACTTAACCAGAAGCGAGTCTAGAAAGAACCCCACACGGATCCCAATACACAAATATCACTTGCAGGTTAGCCCTGCAATGTCCAGTCCGGCGGATGCGGTATGGTTCAAAAGCCAGGATGAGGACAACCACACCGGACAGCTAAAAAAACAGGTGAAACCTCCAGCAGCAGTGCAGAAAGTAGTCCTGAAAACAGCAGAGCTGAAGACATCCATCCTAGGACAATAGCAAAAAACTGAGACATACTGGTAGTGGGAGGGCTAATTACCCTGGACTGGCCTACAGTTTTTTGTTTTCCCGTGTTCCAGTGTCCAATCCTCCTGCAGGTAGCAGTATGAACCGAAGGATTAAAACTTCCTGCATACACTTATCTATTCTCAATGATTTCCTGCATATTCTTGTACTCTTCTTCTGATTTATTTCTTACTTACTGTTCTCTCTTGTTATAGATTTTATATACCTTGAAAATGGGATACCGTATACGCCTCTGCTTTTAGCTGATATTGTTTTTCTTCTATACACAACACGAGTCCTGCTGCATGTATCGTCATGTATTGGCCTGTGTATACAGTATATGATTATGTGATACGGAGGTGTTCCTGGTTCTTCTGTTACTGTCGTATTTTGAATAAACACTGATTTGAACAAAACTTCCTGCGCACTTTAATGGGCGAGAAAGAAACTCTTATGCAATTGTTTACATTTACCTGACTAAAACACTCACAAATGCACACATACTGTGAATATTTTATAAAAACCTGTATACACATCTTAGTCATGACCATAATAAAAAGAAAATACTGTGGGGGGAATTTATCAAAACTGGAGCAGACAAAATGTGGAGCAGTTATGCACGGCAACCAATCAGCATCTCTCTTTCATTTTCAAACCTTTAAAGAGAACTATGAGGTAGGTGGTTTTCCCCATAGTTTTCTTTAGACTCAAAGCTCAGTATATAGGGAGCTATTGCCCGCGATATACTGAGAGCGCCACAGCCGGGACAGATCCCGACAATGCTGTCGAGATCCACCCAGCTGCATGAGTGACAGCTGGCTCTGCCTATCTAGAGGCAGAGCCAGCTGTGCCCACCTCCACCCCGTTCATTCCTCCACTCAGCGCTGGAGGATCGGAGTGGGGTGGGGAAGAATCCCTGCGGAGAGCAGTGACCGTCACCGCTCACTACAGGGAGACGATTGGGAAGTGAGCGGATTGGTACATGTTTCTGCTCACTTCCCGATCAATAGAGCCGACCTGTGACAGCTTCTTTGTCAAAGGTCGGCTCTAACTATGAGTATGAGGGGAGATCACTCACCTCATAGTTCTCCTTTAACTGAAAAAACTGAAGAGATAAGCTGATTGGTTGCCGTGGGCAACTGCTCCAGATTCGGTCTCCTCTAGTTTTGATAAATTCCCCGCTGTATGTACAAAACCACAATTCATTTCCTTTGAAAAAACCACACCACCCAATAAGACACATAGGATGCCAATATATACAGCATATTCTACAAGACTGCCCTCTAGCGTGTCCTTGGAAAACTGCACTTGCATTTCAGTAGGCTTTAGGCTCTGTTCACACCTAGGCGTATTGAATATGCGCGTTTGTCCCGCGATTCGCGGTTAAAAAAACGTGCGGCAAACGCGCGTTTCCGAGGGCTACTTGGCTGTATCCCAATGGAAACACGCGACAAAACGCCGCAAAGAAGCTCATGTACCTTTTCAGGCGTAGGCCGTTTTGTAGCGCGTTCAGACGGGCTGAAATACGGCAAGGTGTGAACCTTACCCATAGAAAACAATTGGATTTTTCTGTTTGAGCGTTCGTAGAGCATTGAAAGCGCTACAAAACGTACAGGTGTGAACCAGGCCTTAGGGATGCTCTGTGGGGGTTGGACTGTAAAAAGGGGAAGACTGCAGTGGCACCTTAAAGTGGGTTTTATCACCACTGGTCTGCTCTAAACATAGGGACAAACTAAATCCTACTTACGTGTCTGTATCCAAGGAAAAGTAATCATAAAGTTTCACTATTCGGGGGTGATCAAGTTCTTTGTGTATTCTATACTCTCTGCAGGCATGCCTACAAACAAACAAATGGGCAGGTTAATAAGGCTGCAGGGTGACGAGACAGGTTCTATTATGAAAGAGCACAAAAAACTATTTACTTGTGGTAATTTTCTTTCTTCTCGTCTCTCCAGCTCTTGTTAAGTTGGTGAATTTTCACAGCAGCATATCTTTGTTCGTAAAGATCAAAAGCCTAAAATAAACATATAATGGCACAGTCAGAATGCAAAGTTATTTTCAAAAAGCATACATATCAATACTCTGCGGAAGGAGGCTAGACTGAAAGTGATGTGCTCAATGTGTCTGCTATTCCACAATATATTAACTCTATTGGCTCATAAGGTGGGTTCATTAACTAGCAGTTACCATTTCTGCAGCACAGTGTATGGTGACAATACAAAGGGCATGGACCTATACGTAAAGTTAAACACAGAGCAAACAGCTAAATACTTACCTATATGCTAAATGCGTTACCGATCACATGATCTGTAATTCAGCCAGCCTTTTCATCCAGGCACACCTACCAGACCACTAACCTTCCTCTGACAGAAAGTGCCGTAGGGGAATATGGAGCCGGCTTCCCGGGCAATTAGGAAGCCGGTTGGAGAGTAATGACCAGCCTCCCGGTTTCCTGATGAGCCGGCTTCCTGGCTACTTACTGATTGGCTGGGAGGCCGGCTTCCCGGCTAATCAGCATCGAGGAGGCCGAACAGCCGCCTCGGTGCTGAATGGCTGGGAAGTCAGTTTCCTGGCCAATCAAATTCGAGCTGGCCAAATCAGGAAGCTGGGTGGCATGTCATTACCCGCCGCCCGGCTTCCTAACTGCCCGGGAAGCTGGCTCCATGCCAGCGGAAGCACCGGTATCAGCGAGTACCGAAAGCAAAACATCGGTACTTGTACTCAATACCAAAAAACGTTTGCATCTCTAGAATTTACCTTTCTTTCTTAAAGTATACACGTGGTCAAAAATGTAAAGGGCGATTTTCCCTTCCCAGGTGAAAGCGCTTCTCATTGGTCAGCGTGGTCAGGAGACTGTGCTGGCCAATGAGTGCTCGCCATTTGCGACTGAAGTTTGAAATACTGAGCACAGGGCTGCTGTGCTGTGTACAGATCGCACACTGGTAGCTGCAGAAGGTACTAATCACCATTCGCTTAAAAGGTAACTCCATTTTCTCAAATTAACCCAGTCTGTACTGTGCTGGCATATCTCATATTGAGTTGTAAACTAGTTTTGAACACGGTCTGATATAAAGTCTAGAAGCATTGTATATTAATGAGAGGAAGCTCAGCCTGTCCCTGGTCTATCTATAGGGAAAGCCAGAGTTTCCTGACAGTTTCCTGTACAGAGAAAGGCCAAAGGCATGCTACACAGAGACATCTATAAAGGTAAGAAATATTATTTAAAAAGTATTTTTAGGTATGCTGTGTCAATAGAAACAAACATATAGGAGGGGTTTTCTCAAATTTTCTGCAAAAGTGGATATACACTTGAAGCACTTAGGCTAGGTTCACACCAGCTGCAGTGCGTTCCGGCCTGATTCTGGCCAGAACGCACTGCATCGCATTGCGGCTGGCTCACTTTTTTGCGGGGCAGAAGGGGGCGTGGTCGGGCCATTGCAGTGGATGGCACCGTAGCCACGCCCTCTGGCCGCAATGCATTGTGCCTGCGGTCTGGTCCGCTGCGATCAAAATAGTGCTGCAAACATGTTGATCGCACCGCACCACAGGCACAATGTGACTGGCGATCCCGTGCGGCCGATCGCATTGCGGCCGGAGGGCGATGCAGTGTGTTCTGGCTTCTGGCCAGAATCGGGCCGGAACGCACTGCATCTGGTGTGAACCTAACCTCAGACATGAAAACATGTAGCAAGAAATCTTACGCCTTGCATTTGTTTCAAACTAGAAAGCAATTTAGTAAGCATTAGGTGCAAAGAATAAGGTAAATTAGTGTTACCTTGTACACTTCACTAAAACCACCTCGACCAAGTAGATGAAGTAATAAATATCTATCGTTCAACGTAGGGTGATCTTTAAATCTGAAAATAAAGAGAAATACAAGTTAAATATAAACATGCAATGCCTTGTGTATAAAAGGTGCCGAAAGTGACCATTTCCTTCATTTACAGAGTGAACTATTATTAGAATTCCTCTCACAGGAAAGCGGAGAGCAAGATGGCTTCTCAACTGACCGCACCAGTCAGGATTTGCTGCATACTATTCTGTCAAACATATCTGGAGTAGAATAGAATAGTTAACCACAGCCATCAGTCCGGTTCAATCACTGGGAAAATAAACCCAGTAGTATGAATTTTGTCAGAGACAAATGCTTCCATTGTTTCCATATTTTCTTGTTCACTTTTCTACATATCGACCACTTTAAGTTAAAGTGCAACTAAAAATGTTTGTGTTTTGGATGCAGTAGGGAATGGATGGATAGGGAATGGACAGAACTGTCCTTGTGTCCACTGGGCAGATTTCCTCCTACTATCTATCCTGGGCGATTCCAAATTTTTGTAGCACAGCAGGGAAAAGTTAGATCTCTGTCGGGTGTATTTATTCTTTTTGTGTTTTCCTAAAAGCAGTTATCCGCTATGCTGGTTATTTCATTCAATCAGTAAAGTTTTTCCTACAGGTCAGGTTGGCATCAGTATCAGACTGCACTCTCTGTCCTGCACAGCCATTAATAAGCATGACAACATGATCTTAACCACAGCAGTGGAAAGTTCCTGTAAGAAATGTATCTTTCAGAAGCTGTATTGTCTTGCGTGTCCAAACACCCTCTACAGTCCAAGATTTCTTAAAATTAACCCTTGCAGTGTGGCTACCCCTATTTTAAAAAATCCCGGAATTCTTACTTAGGGTACAGTCACACTGGGCTATTATGTGTGGCTGGGGATTTCTGTGGCAAGAACCTATGGAATCCTGCAGCAGGAATCCCAGGTATGTCTGTACAGATGTGGCCACTGTGCCAGTTCAAGAAAATGACAGGCTGACAGCGGCCGCTTCTGTCAGGTGCAGTCTGCATGTAAATCTACATGGAACGATCAGGATAAAGCATTGTCCCTAGACACAATCTGTCCGTGGAATCCCCAGCCGCGTCCGTAAAGTAGTATTAAAGTGACATTAAACCCTCAGATTTTTTAACATAAACCAGTACTGCAATGTGCGCTTTACTGTAATCCATGGTAGTTTCCCTTCTCTTTGCGGCTCTTCCTTTTAAATCTGTATCTCTTCTCATGCTTGGGGAGAACTTGCCTTTGCAGCTGAGTGCCTCTTCCTGTAGTGCTGGCTCAAGTTGTGAACCTACACACAGGACACCATGTATCCATTCCAGAGACAAGGCAGTCTGCTGTAAAACAGAAGTTCTGCCCAGCATGAGAAGAGATACGGATTTAAAAGGAAGAGCAGCAAAGAGAAGGGAAACTACCATGGATTAAGTAAGGCGCACATTACAGTATTGTTTTATGTTAAAGAATCTGAGGGTTTAATGTCACTTTAAAGGCTGGGCATTTTTTACCTTAATGCATTAAAGAAAAAAATGCCCAGTACCTTTCTGACTGCCACATCCCCCCCACACTTACCTGTCACCGGTCCCCACAGCAATCCTCCATCCCAAACTTCCTGGTTGTGGGGGGAGGAGATTGAGGGCAGAGAAGCCATAGGCTCCTTCTGCCGTCAATCAACCTGTGGGACAGGGAGGAGGAGCGTGGCATGTCGCAGGGCTGTGTGCGTCTATTGACACACACGGCTATTGCAGGCACAGCCGTGAACGGGCACACATGGGTGCCTCCACAGCAGCTGCTGGTGGCACCCGTGCAGGGGGCGGTGGGGAGAGAGGATGCAGGGACCCACTATAAAACGAGGAAATTAGAAATTTAAAAAAAAACAAAAAACCCCCAAAGATCTGTTATAAAGAAGGCCTCCCAGTGATAAAAATAAATTAAAAAAACGAAAGCTTTAATAATCACTAAGTCCCGTGTGAATGAGGCCAAAAGCCCAAACTTTCTTTTTATCATTTGGATTAGAGTAGGGGAGGATTATAACTGCTGTCAGTTTTTTTGCCAACTGTGTCTCATTAGAGAAATTTCCCTTCACTTTATTTCCTGAAGACTTGACTGGAGGGGAGAGGATATCTTTCTGGTGTGAAAAAATCCCCTCCTAGACAGTGGTCCTGGCACAAAATTTGGTAGTCACCCTCACAGTCATCAGTGATACTGCTGATCAAAACCGTTAGAGAGAGTGACCATCCACAATGGGGACACAGCAATTAAAAGTACACATGCTATTAATAGTGGTGTAGGTACATCAAGACAATATAAAAAACAGTCAATGCATTTCAAGTTGGGATGCACGGATACCGTTTTTTTCGGTATCGAGTAGGAGTACTGATATTTATATTTCGGTGCTCACTGATACTGATACTGGGAAGCCAAATCCATGCTGTTTGACCGGCTCGATGCTGATTGGCCCCTCACCCATCCATTCCTCCAATCAGCGCTAGAGGAACGGAGAGGAGGGGACTGACTGTTCTCTGCAGGGAGAAGATCGGGAACTGAGCGATCAGCGATATGTGATCACTCAGTTCTCGATCTATAGAGCCAACGTGACAGCTCCAGTGCCACACGTCGGCTCTAACTATGGGGATGAGTATTTCACTCGCCCCATAATTCTCCTTTAAAACCGACCTCCAACAACCTCAAGAATGACTAGGGTATGGTTGTATATCAATGTTCATTAAACAAAACCAATGTCAAACAATCCAGCCAAAATCATTCAAATGTGGAAACAGTTTTAGGTCTGCAAGCTCATCAAGGCAATTGGGGTTTTTTGTGATCAGGGAGTTCCGTCATTATCGTGGCAAATTCTGAGAGTCCAGCTACAGCCCAATCCAAAACTTGTGCTGTTCATACTACATGACAAATGCATAATTACGAGGAGAGGCAAATATACAAAACTAATGATTTGTCCTTACTGTGAGTTGTCTTCATTGTTAATTCTTTTCAGTTCTCGTATGTGCAGATTTCGAACCCTTTCTAAACGTTCCAGTTCTGCCTGGATCTCTGCTTCCTCCTGCATAGGCAGTAAAGTGTTATAATGATTCGTATAGATAGATCTATCACTGGAGACAGAAACAAAACTGAGGCATATAGTTGTGGAGGCCCTGGTTTAAAAAGCATTTTTGTTGGCCTAAACAGCAAATCAGAGAGGAGGTGTACATTAAAGATGCCCATACACCTTGCGATTATTGTACGATAATCGCTGGAAATCCCGCGATCGTACGATAATCGGCAGGTGCATGGAAGGCGTGCGACCGTTTCTACTGTACGGTCGCACGTCTTTTGTCGAAGGAGCACGCTAGAAAACCCGCCGAGAATCGTACGATTGTCGGCGGGTTAGTGGTGTGCTCGTTCGACAACTGCTGAACGGGCCGGTGTGCGCACGCGCACACTGCCTGTTCAGCATTGCGGTCATCAGAAGCCCTCACCTGAGCGAGGCGGGCTTCCGATGATCACAAGTACAATCTGCCTGTCCAAGATGGGTAGATCGTACAAGCTTTTAATTAGCTTACAACCATCGCAAGACAAATGTCTTGCGATGGTTGTAAGGTGTATGGGCACCTTTAGAGCAAGGGCAAGCACCATTACAGATGTACAGTATTATACACTGATCAGCCATAACATTATGACCACTGACAGGTGAAGTGAATAACATTGATTATCTCATTACATTGGCACTTGGAGGTGGGTGCGATATAAGTGAACATTTTGTCCCTAAAGTTGATGTGCTGGAAGCAGAGAAAAAAAATGGACAAGCATAAGGATACAGTAAGGATTTGAGCATGCCAAAATGATAGCTAGATGATTTGGTCAGTGCAATTCCGAAACTGCAGCTCTTGTGGGATATTCCTTGCCTGCAGTGGTCAGGAGTTCAAGGTGTGGCCTCCAATTTCCCCAGATCTCAATCCAATAGAGCATCTGTGGGATGTACTGGGAAAAAAGTCCAATACATGGAGGCCCCACCTTCTAAAGTACAGGACTTAAAGGATCTGCTACTGATGGCTTGGTGCCAGATACCACAGAATACCTTCAGAGGCCTAGTGGAGTCCATGCCTTGATGGGTCAGGGCTGTCTTGGCGGCAAAAGGGGACCTACTCAATATTAGGCAGGTGGTCATAATGTTATGGCTGATCAGTCTATATCCTATGCTATAAATCTTACAACCCTGGTTATGCAATGAATACAGATTTACTTTATGCACTATAAAAAGGGATACATATTGTATTTTCAATGTGCGCAGACTTCAAATAATTTTACGGTTTACCTCACATTAATGTAATTTTTAGTGCGACTTTCACAAATTTAAAGACTTGTTCTTTGCTATTTTATTAAACTCCATAATAAACTAATTCTTCGAGCAACTATTTTCATACAATGCCAACACTGAGCAAAAGGCCTAACAGAAGTCACATTATTGTTTCCGGTGCAATCTGGCATTCACAGGGTTAAAAATTAGGCTGTCAGAGTAATCCAGCCGAGTTCAGGGAATCCATTAGACAGTTCAAGGCTTGAAAACTGTCCTGATTTTCAGTGTGCACTATTTAGAACGGAAAGCCGAGCTTGGCAAGGAGCATTTATTTCCCCAAAAGATTAGTTAACCAGCTCTATTGTTGTCTACAAGGAGCGCAGCTTCCTCAGGTACCCAAATCAATTCTGCCATTGACTGAAATGTATAGGAGTGAAGCACAGATGACAATGTGCTACAGACAGCAGCAGGAAGCTAAATCAGCAGCCATTGTTCCCCATTCTGCAGTGGAAAGTGGCTGAAACACAACCTGAATACCATTTACAGTGTTTGTTTACTCAATGAATGCAGCAAATTCCCTAGAAGAGCAGAAGCAACGCCACTACCAAGAGAGGGTGATGTTTTTTAATGAAAGAGCAAAAAAGAAAAGAAAAGGGGAGCCGAAAATGAAATCTGCAGCTAGAGAACATGGAAAATTCCTACTGACACACATACCTTTTTCAAATGCCCAAGTCGGAGTTTAAAAATCTCTTCCTGCTCGTGGTATTCGGCTAACGTTAACCTGAGCAAGCAAAAAGAACAGTAAGAAAACAAGGCAGACTATACTGTGATGAACGCACAGGAAACCTGTCCATTCCACGCATACTTCAAAGATGACCTAGGATATTGTTAAAGTATATCTGCAAAATAAAGGTCTATGAAGAGTATAACATGACTTCCTTGACATCTCAAGGGAAGCTGAAAGAGGTTTCAAAGGGTTTCACTTTAAAATAAAAAAAAATAAACCTATGGTCATCAGCTTTGAGTTAGGTTACCTTTTCAGATTTTTGGGGAAAACGTGAACTAACCCTATAAAGCAGGGGTGGGCAACTGCGGCCTTCTAGTTGTGGAACTATAAGTCCCATGAGGCATTGCAAGACTGACAGTTAGCCCTCATTCACACGAGAAACGCGCGGCCCATACAGCTCCGTGCACGGCCGTATCGGGAAGGACAGGTGTTGCGTGTGATTTGTAAGCAGAAGCCTGTCCTTTTCTATGGGAGTATGCGGCCGTACGCCGCCCTACGCTCACCCGTGCGGGTGTCCCTGCTCGGATGCAGACAGGATCCATCCTGTCGGCGTACGAGTACGGACACCCGCATCCATATGGACGTGCAGGGCGGGTGAAAATAGGGCGACGTAAAGCCGCGTACTCCAATAGAGAAGGACAGGCTGCTGCGTACAAGCACCTGTCCTTCCCGGGAGCAGTCCGATACGGCCGTGCACGCAGCACGAATCTGTACGGGCCGCTGTTTCTCGTGTGAATGAGGGCAAACAGAAAGAGGTTTGAAAGACTCCCAAAAGGGAGAGGCCATGTTGGGATTTGTAGTTAAAGCACAGCTGGAGGGCCGGAGTTGCCAACCATGATTTAAAGATTGCTGAAAGCTGTGCGAGGTCCATGCTGTGTAGTTTATATTGTAAAAAGCATTATAGCCTGTGAAATAAAGCACTGGACATATTCTCTAAGAAAACATTGGTGGATATGCTCAAAATTTAAAAACACACCTAATCTAAAATGTCTTTGTTTCTCACATGTTTCTGCTCTCACCAATAAGAACATACAAAGTTTCACACGCCTGTATCTTGTATTTGTAGGTTATTTGTACATGGCACATTACAGTGAAACCATTAAAAGGAGAACTATGTGGTCAGGGCTTTTCCCCATAGTTCTCCTCAGGGTAACGGGAGGACACAAACTAGCGTCCTCCCGTTACCCTAAGCATTATCCTTATCTTTAAAATAGCAACCAAGACACCTTTAGAAATGTTTAGCAATGGCAATCTACAAACAGATATTTATAGATAAATTGCTGACTTTTTATTATTTGTATACCTTATTTTTCTTTTCCTCCCTATTCTTCTCACAGTGGCCATTTTTACTAAGGGCAGATTAATCCAATCTCCCAATTGGTAGTGTTCCACTGTTGGTTCTGAGGAAGGAGGCGTGACCTCTCAAACGCGTAAACCAATTCACTACCAGGGAAGATGAACAGCCGGTGGATATGCACCTTTCGTTCTGACCCTTTTATGCCCGTTTTTATTCGTCCTTTGTGAGTAACTTTATACCATTTTTTAAATTTGTTTATTACAAAGTTTTTATGCGATGGAGGCGCTCTCTGTGTCTTGTCATATGGAGCCACCCTGCTTCCCAGTCCTCCTTCTTCAAGCAAGTAGATGGACAACTGCTGGAGACTGTGCTGTCCCTTGTGATCTTGTACTGGACAGGAAGTTCAGGGTAGCAGAGCTGGAGCCAGCTGTTCACAAACATGACTAACTGCTTGTGCAAAAATGTTAAGAAATACTAAGCTGTACTGTATATTCAATCCATCATCATCTGGTCTTACAATAGCTACTGCAACTGCGCAGAAACAAAAAGCCAGCATGCGTCTCACCCTGCAAGCAGCCTGACAAGTCTAGAATAGGATTTAGATAAGAGGTGGCCTTTAAATGAAACCTTTGAATGTCAAGTTTATTTAACCTTCTCTTCAGGGCATTTTGTATCTCTCAACCAATGCAGATTAAACCATGGTATTTTATTGTTCATCCATGAGGGATATTTATGGAAATCTCAGACACCACATGTTAAGTTACCATAAATATTTGTGTTTTCGGTTAAGTTAAATATTTAGATTATTCGTGAATTACTTGTAGCCGGCAGCCTGATACCAGAAGTTCCAATATCGGGATAGGCATTGGGAGCATTTGGCCGAGTACTCGCCCAAATACTCTGATTGGCACCGATACAGATACTAGTATCGGTGCATCCCTAATAGCAACTGCACCTTGAGGCTAACAGCTATGATTTCACTAGTTGGAGCTAGTTTGCGTGATTGTGATTTGCAGTTTTAAATAAATAAATAGGAGAATATCTTTATTTTCTTGAAAGTGTTCTGTTCCTAGCTATCCTTATGTAAAATAAAACCAGGTGATTGACATATTTTGACATTATACTGGTTCCTTTTTGACAGTCTGGAGAGTATGTCATCATAAAAAAAGTTAAGAACCCCTGGTTTAATGTAAAAAGATAACAGGGGGAAGAAACTTACAATTGGGGTAAAGTAGGTTTTAAAAAAGGATCATTCTCTGCCCCGTTGACAGCTTTGTTTTTCCTCTGCTTTGGTTCGGAGTTGGAGGACGGGGTCTGAGCGTTGTTGGTAGATGGAGGTTTTCGCTTTGCCAGTAGTTTTCTTTGTCGTTCAATATCTTCTCTCTGCTGATTCACCCATTCTTGCTGCCTGCAAAACAGCCACAGACAGAAACATATAGTTGAATAAATGATACGCTGAGAATACTTTAATATAAAACTATGTAGAAGACACTGTTTCCAGGCAACGACCTCAAGCATTGTTTGTTCATTCCGCTGCAGGAGTGTCAATCATTGTGTGTATTGCAGCAATCTAACAAACTTCACTAACAGACGTGTGGGCACCATTCGACAGGGGGAAGAGGTCTCGTTTATAATGTAGGTGTTCATATATTTTTTAGCGTGGCAGTACATCTAAACATGCAAGTTCTGATCATTAAAAGGTGAATACCCATGGAGGCAAAGGAAGGGGGGACCAAACATCTCCTGCACCAGCCTATCCTGAAAGAAACCTGTAACCGGAGAAATCTGACAGAAGTCACTGCTCATCTCCTATGATTACTAGTTGCATGGCTGTCACAGGTCTGGCCAACGGACACATGAATGGCATGGAGATGTCAAAGTCTAGGGCTGCAGCTAACGATTATTTTCATTATCAATTAGTTGCCTGATTTTTTTTCGATCAACTGGTTGCATTAAAAAAAAAAAAAAAAAAAACTCTCTCTCTCTCTCATCCATAGTGAGAATAGTTGCCAAGTAGTCTCATAAATCGATTAATTGTTGCAGCCCTATCAAAGTCAGACATCAGAACTCCGCTGCGTACTTGTTTTCAGGTCAGTGCCTCAGAAAATAACGAAACCACTGCAACTACATATAAGCCAGACAACTAGCATTTTAACAAGAAGTAGTTCTGCTTCCTTACCTTTGCTTCCCAAGCCTTCTGACTGGGTACTGAAGGAGCAGCGGGCACAATAGGGTCATGTCTGACCTCTCATTAACAGCTCTACCTCCCTTGCCATTAAGACCCTCTCCTCACACTACAGCAGGAGAAGCCCCAAAGCTCCCTGGGCAATCTTTGCACTGTAATATTAGAATCGGACAGTACAGTATTCCATAGTCCCAAAAGGAGGAACAATCAAGTGAACACAAATTGTAAACAAAAATGCATTTGAAAGAAGAAAGTAGCAAAACAAATGTGGTAAGCAAGATGATTGCTTGGACTTTCTTTTTCTTACAATACCCAGATAACCAGAGCATGACCGTTGCAAAAGAAATGATGACTTTTCCATAATGGAAAAAAATGCTTCCTGAAGCTCTCTAACTTTTGTATTATTTATGCCACGTTGATTATGTCTGTCTGCAGAGCTCTAGACAGGCCCCGTAAAGTTTCCTTGGCTGATCTGCCAGCAGAACACAATGACATCACTTGGCGACTGAGTAACAATTCTGCAAATTCAAAAACAGGAGACTAACTTGACAAGATTCTGAAAAGCAAATCCATCTGTCCACTGTTCTGTAAACGAGGCCCCGTGCCGGACGGTGGTGAAGTGTCCTAGCCGTAATCTGTCCTGCATACTCTTCTCTCTGCTTGCCAATTTCTCCTGAGTGCTCTGAAAACACAGAAAGGAAAAAAAAAAAAAAGTCATCCTAGATGGTCACATGGGAAATAATCACAAAAGTGTGAAATCCTAAAAGTTTGATTACACAAAACTCCTATGATTTAGAGTACTACTGAGAAACAAACCGAAGCAACAATGGAGTAAGCACACGTTTCTGATCAGAACCACTGCAGACTCATAATAAGCTGGAGGCCCCACATCACTGTGACCTCTATGGCTCTATATCAGGCTAAATGCCAGCTGGAGGCCCTCTGTATCAACATCCATGCCAGCGCCTCTGTAATGTCAGCACCTCTGTTTCACCTGTTATGCCAGCTAGAGGCCCCTTAGTCTCCATTCTAGCTATAGACCCAGATATTAGAGACCTCAATGTCTCTGTATCAGCCTCCATGCCAGCTGGAAGTCCCAATTTCAAAAGCAACTTTAGCCTGTCTGTATCGACATCCATGTCAGCCCCTCTGTAATGTCAGCACCTCTGTATCACCCATTATGCCAGCTAGAGGCCACTTAGTCTCCATGCTAGCTATAGTCTCAGATATTACAGAGACCTCAATGTCTCTGTATCAACTTCCATGCCAGCTGGAAGTCCCAATATCAGGGCAACTTTAGCACCTCTGTATCAGCATCCATGCCAGCTCCTCTGTATCAACTGTTATGCCAGCTAGAGACCCCAATATCAGGGCAACCTCAATGTCTCTGTATCAGCCTCCATGCCAGCTGGAGGCTCCTATATCACAGTGACCTCTTCCACTGATGGCACAGAAAAGTCACTGGGCTCCAAAAATATGAATCAAATAGACCAGGTCTAACCTGGTAATTTCATTCTACTGTATTTTCCACAATACTTCAAGTCCTCTCTCTGCTGATACAGAAGCAAAGGAGAAGAGCAAAAGTCATTACTTGCCAAGGGAATAGGATTTCATTGTATTTAGAATTAAGCCCGACCAAATGCCATCCCTTGTCTTATAAAAGTATCTAATAAGGGTTCACTCACTGCAAAGAAACATAGGCGGGGAGGTCAAACCATTAGTACAGGTAATAGCAGGCAACATATGCTATCTGTTCTTAGGGCTGACAGGTTGAGCAGACTCTGACTGCATGTTTTCTTTCACTGACAGTACAGCATGGCTGCTTTGTTGAGTACATTATAAGATTTATAAAGACTGGAAAGAATAGAACACACTGAACAATAATAGGTCCTTGGAATAAAGTTCATTTTAGATTTCCTTACCGATTCAAAGCAAACACCTTCATAGGTGCTGCTATTCCTCCAGCGTGCTGGACAATAGAGAACTACTTTTTCCTCCTGTTATGTATACTCCCAGTGTACAAAATGTTTGTAGCAGCTATGCATCTCTCTTGTTTTCTCTGGTGATTTGTACCTGGCTACAAAACTGTATAAAGTTACATATCACCGGTATGATATGGCCGTCAGCAGCTGCGCTGGATCCCATGACTACTTCTGTTATCCAATGCAGCTACTTTCTGAAGCCGGAAATTTTGGAGCTGCAGCAAGTGACTTAACTACAAGTTGCGGAGACACAGACCTTTGTATCAACTGCAATTCTGTGATCCTTGGCAACAAAAATTCCTAGGGCCACGTCAGAGTGGCATCTTTGTAGCACCTACAAACCCCCTGCTTCATTTATATGGCATTTTGTAGCTGGGAACTAAGTACATTGCTTATCTAGGCAGCTATAACTTGCTGGTGTGCCATGGTCATCAACAGGTGCACTGGATAACATAAGTAGCCACTAAAGCTTACAGATCTGAAGTTCTACATCACAGATCTCAGATGACTGCACTTATTTATTTCCTAGGAAACAAAAATGCTAAGGAAAGTGATTCTGCAGCTGCAACAAATCACTGCTACAGATGTGTGCATTCTGCTTGCATTTGAAGATTCAGTTTACAGAGGTTTCAGAGATTCATCATTCAGATTATTTATAGGTGCATTTGACTTGCAGTTGACCTCCTAGTAGGCTAACTCATGCTTTTGTATTCTCATTGACCTGTATGGGCAAAGAAGCAGTTCTGAAGCAAACAAAAGTCAGTCAATCCAGGCCCTTAGGCTGCCAGCACTATGCAAGGCAAAAGGACCTCAACTGGCTCAGCGTCGATCCTCCCGCTTCCAGATTCAGTGCTGCTATGCATGATAATACTGAATGCTAACATAAAGACAGATTTTGTTACTTTTACTACCCAACTTGGAAAGAACATGCCATGAATTTTAACAAATACATAATTGGATCGGAGTGTTTTTGTTTTCTATATTCCTGGAATTTTGTTTTAGAGAACTAAAAGATAAATGCTGAATGGGTGATATGGATTAATGCAATTTTCCTTAAAGGAAAGCCTGGAAGACCGGTTGTGACCCATCACTCACCTTTTCAATGAGAAGTTTCTTGCTCATTGAAATACATTTATTTAATCTTTCTTTGTATTTTTCAAGGATTTTCTGCTGTTCGTCTATTTGTCGCCTAAGGTCACAGTTCGTCTGCGAGTGAAACAGAGAAAAAACATGGTCATAAAAAGACAATCAGAAAAGCTTTTTGATTGATATATATAAGAGAGAAAGAGAGCGAGACACAGAGAGCGAGACACAGAGAGCGAGACACAGAGAGCGAGACACAGAGAGCGAGACACACAGAGAGCGAGACACAGAGAGCGAGACACAGAGAGCGAGATTCTTTGAACTGTCCATTCAAAGAATGGACAGTTGAAAGAGAAGCAGCACACACTGATATGCTCATCTCTCGTCACTTTGCTCACTCCTCCTATCATCATGTTTCTTGTACTGTTGCACAACTGATCTGCTCCGTGTGATGCTTCTCGGTTGTACACGGGAAACCAAGAAGCCGATTCCAAGCCAAAGTCATGTACTTACACTGCTTGCATTTAAAAGTACACTTTTAAGGATGTACAGTATTATTGACAAAGCTCCTTAACCGGTGTGTTATATCTGCCTTGCGTTTAGCTTTAAGCCCTTTATAGTGTATAGATGCAGCTAATTAGAGGGTCATTGTTCTGCTAGAAAACCAGAAGAATTGTTAAATGAAAGTTGATAATTAAAAACAAAAAGTGTGTGCAGTGTTGCTGCTTTGAATAATAAACCATCTGCTGAAGGCGAAGCAGGAAACTGAAATGCGCCTCAATTCAATGAGGGTAAAAGGGATTTGCCTTGAATGCCTGGTTCCTTTGTGTGTGGCAGCTCACATCACTATTCATCAGCACAAGATAATTGTGCTACCGGCAGGTCCCAACAAAATTACCTTCTCCCGCTCCTGAAGACACTTTCTACAACCGTATTACTACCATTTACTGTCAATCCTCTCCTATTTATCGGCAGAAGACTTATTTATAGAAGGATGCAGTGCAAGATATTTATAGTGCTCCTCTTGTATTAGTTGTATAGAAGCCCAGTCAGCCGCTAGCAGCAATACAGCATGAAAGCTCCATGAGAGAAGTTCTGTAATCACAATATGGCTGAAACAAGTCAAGGACATTACAAGGTCTCCACTGTGAAGCATTACACACCCTGACAATGCACAAGTGCTGATACAAGCACAGGGATGACAAGGCATTGGTACAAAGTGCTTGTAGAAATAACTACACTTTTGTTAGACAATAGTGCTAATGAGGGCAATGAAAAAATACTGAAAAGGTCAAACAATTTATTTCTGAAATAACCCTCTCCCATTTGCATACATTTCTCAGAGAGCTTTGCTGAAGTCTCCCTATACTCTCCGGAGGGCGTCAGGAGGTAAGATGCTGATCTCCCTCCGTACTGTAAATGCGGAGGTAATGTGTAATACATCACTTCCGCATTCACCTGTCAGTCATCTGGCTGCTATAGCCAGAGAGAAGAAGCTGATGAAGCAGATCTCTGCTTTATCCGCTTCTTTGGGGGTCCCCAGGTGACATTAGGGGTCTTAGAGACCCCTAATGTCTCCATAAAGAGGACCTGTCAGTGTGCCTTTGCTATTGGCATGACGGAATAAATGTCAAAGTACCGCAGCGCTGAATACTGAAAAATGGCCTGGACAGGAAGGGGGTTTAACACCGCGGACTTCAAGTGGTTAAGTCAAAGAAGAGGTCGATAAAACCGTAGATACAGTAAACTGCTGGATGCATCTATCCTGCACTCAGGGACAGTCTTCTATCCCAAACCGCATGTAATAGTTTCATATACGATTATACACCGACTGCCGATAACAGATCTAGCTGCTGTCACTTACTTAAACCGGTACAACACTCACTTCGCAACAGGGACACCTAGCATTTCTGCCACAAGAATCCCGTCACAAGTTCACAAGTGAATGGGGCCTTAGACATGTGCTCATGACTGCTTATAAGTGGATCTATATTCTGTGGATGCCAACCTTTTCCACTAGATCCTAAAGATCCTAAAGAGTACTTAATATGCTCCTCTTCCATGTATCTATTGCTTACACCATGAACAAGTACTTAAATACTACCATCTACTCTAAAGCTTCATTCACACTAGTTGTGAATGTGCATTTTGGGATTCCTGCTGCAGGAACCTACAAATTCCTGCAGCAGGAATCTCAAATATGCCGCTTAGAAGCGACCGCTGTTACCCATTCAAGTTAATGATCGAAATTAGGAATAGATCACGATCCCTAGGTGCTAGACAGATGCGGGATCTCTAGGGATAGCGATCTATTCCTAACCTCATGTAATCATGTTGGAGCACTGCTTTCAAATGCGGCCGCTGTCACCCGATCATTAACTGGAATGGGCAACAGCAGCCTTTCTAAATGGCATTTTTGGGATTCCTGCCACAAGAATCCCAAAACACACGTTAACAACTAGTGTGAACGAAGCCTTATTTCCTGCTCTGAATTTGAAAAAAAACCCTGAATTTGCAAAAGCCACCGTTGCCTCTTGCAATCCCATATGCAGAGTTCAGACCGGGAGAGGAAGGGCAAGCATAGGAGCAAATGAGTTGACGTGGAAGAGAACATAGTGAGCAGAGGAATGGACATCATCAGTCTCTGGTTCTTTCACTGCCCACTCAACCCCCTTGGGTTGGGACGATGACACCACCGTATTTATTATTTGTAAGTTGTATTCATCTTGAGGATGCACGCTTAATCAAAAATATTTTAGGGTGTTTTCCTTACCCTGAGCAAATCATCTATTCTGCCTTCTTTTTTCTCCAGATCCTGATTTTTATTACTTTCTAATGCAGCAAGTTTCATCATTGTAAGATCCGTCTAAAAGAAAACACAAAACATTTACTTCAAAATAAGAATTATAGAAAAAAAAAAAATGCAGTTTCCAATCGTTTTATCATTGACAGAAGTGTTTGATGCTACAGTTGTTCTGCAACCAATGAAAAAAATGTTTAAAACACCACATTATATAATACTTACTTGAATTAGTTTATATGATAATTGTTTTGTGGGTGTTAGAAGATGGTCCGCAAACGCTAACGCAGTAGGAGAAGGACTATTCTGTCGGACCTAAAAGGAAAAGAAAAGTTGGCTTTATTAATTTTCTAGAAAACCAGTTATCAGCATGTTTTTTTTAATTACAAGTATTTATATAGCGCCAACAATTTACACAGCGCTTTACATACTGCACATTCACATCAGTCCCTATCCTCAAGGAGCTTACTATCTAAACATCCCTATTGTACACGCATACACACAGGGCCAAACAGGAGCCAATTAACCTTCTAGCATGTCTTCGGAGTGTGGGAGGAAACCCACACAAGCACAGGGAGAACAAGCAAACTCCTGGCTGGGATATGAACCAGGGACCCCAGTGCTACAAGGCAGAGGCACTAGCCACTAGCCCACTGTGCTGTCCATGTGAAAAACATACAAAACACAGATACTAAAAAGGTTAAAGCTAAACTCCAGTGTAATGGCCAAATACACAGATAAAACCCATAGATGTCTGCTCACTAAACATTAAAAATTAGGTGATGTTTTATTAATTGTCCAACAAGCAGGAAGGTAACAAAAGAAACAAGTAGCGGTATCACTGTTCTGGCTAAACAGAAGCAGATGTGTGAACAATGAAACTGACTGAATGGAATTATAAAACATTTGACACGTATACACATATATGAGTTTCAACTGCACATTAAGCTCATTTAAAGGGCATCTATGGTTAAAAATATATATACGGCAGAGAGCCGTGACAGGATCGAGAGGTGAGCGAACCTGGTATGTGTTCGCTCACCTCCCGAACACATATATAT